AAAAGAAATAGAAAGCCTTGTAAATTATCTGAAACCCCTGGAAATAAACCTAATTAAGGTACTGTATTGGTGTCCTGAATGTTATTCCAAAATGTGTGGGCTTTAACACTCCATTTGAAGATTACAATTGAATATAAAGAAATTGGAAGGTTGTGAAATTTGCTATCTAAACTAGACCATGTTTGAGAGAGAGAACTTGCTCTTAAAGTAATAGTCCCCTTTTTGTAGAGCTTCTATAAGCTCTTACTGAAAGCTGTTTACAAACTGAGCTGATGAAGGAAAGGCTCAGGTACTAAAACAATGGTCCTCACTAGAGATGGCTATAAACAAAAGGGGTTATGCCCAGTAACTGAAGATGCTGATGTGTACATTAAATCTCAAAAACGGTCAAGTGTTGTGTATTAATGTGATCAGGTATCCATAGCATTCTATTTTTTCTTATAACAGTATCACATGTTATACATGCTCATCATTTTCTTTCTGTTAAGCAATATTATGCAAAGCATAGATAACGAGTAAGAAATTGTAAACTGAAGATACTAAAGCATGAAGGAAATATAGCTAAATAATAGTTTACACTTACACCATTCTCTATATCTATATCTTTCTGTCTTTCCAAACCGTCTATGCTTGTGCCATATCCTTCATATGTTGTCTGCATATCCCTGTTTGAGCACATCTAGGCATTTTAATTCTGTATTTGTAGATGCCACTATGGTCTGAATTATAATCTGAAACCAGCTAGTGTAATGCACAGAACTGTAAATACATATCCTTAAATTTGTAATTATGTTTATAGATACTTCCCTTCCCTGTTTCTTTTCTTTTAGTCTATTGAGGATGCAACATCTGGCAAAAATGTAGGAATGAAATTAGAACCACATCTGTCAGTGTTCTGAAATCACAGAATTGTAAAATTGGAAGGGCTCCAATGGTTCATCTAATCAACCCCCACCCTGTCAATTCCAGCTTAGGCTATTCCAGACCTATGTGAGTCTGTTTTTTGTGTACCCTTTATAACAATGAGATTCCACACCTTCCACATGTAATTTATTCTTCTGCTGAACTATTCCTTCACTTAGAAACTTTTGCTCAAATTTACTAGGATTTAAAAACGTAATTTCTTTACTTGTATACTCGGGGGGTGTTATTAATGGGTACCTAAGAGAAAAAAAAATGCAAGTGTTGATCTTTGAATCTGTCTGTGTTGCTTTTATTTTATCATTCTGGGAGTGCAAACATTCTGAGTATTGTTCAATTAGATTCTTAGTTTACTTTTATTTTGAGGGTCATATTTACTAGTTGGAGTTGCAAATACGGGTATATTCTTAAAATCTTGTTTTGATTCTATATTATATATGGGTTTAAAAAGAAAGATTAAATATTATCCTTTTAAAAATTAATGCTGGGTTTTGTTAAAGTATCAGTGATTTTACATCCTTTTCAATAACTCAAACATGATATCTCTTTTAATTATATTTTGGTATACAGGTAGTCCCAGAACTCTCAGTCTCCTGTTTTCTAGGCCAGCACCTAGAACTATACAGTCCCTGTCTACCAAAGTCCCGGGTTAAGAACGTCCGGGTTACAGACGACCCATAGTTAAGAACAGAGCATATTATAGCAAAATTCAAGTTATACACAATGGTTTGAGCTAATTACACAATACTACTTATACAGTATTATACAATAATACTGTTCCGGCTTACATACACATTCGACTTAAGGACAGACCTTGGGAACAGAACTCGTTCTTAAACTGGGGACTACCTGTATAATGTTCACAATTTCATTATACACTATTTTAAAAGCAGATTATTAATCAATTTAGTCAGTTGAGAACCTTGTTTATTTTACTTTCTTTTTCCAATTCTAATTCTAATTCAATTTGTGTTGATGATTTTCTGCTTCTTTTGAAAAGCCACTTTAATCACTAGGATAATTTGTAGAGTTGTGTACAGTCAGCATCAGTTGACTTGATGTACATTATTTTTTTTAAAAAAACTAACAAGCATGACTAATTTCAGCATAAAAAATTCATGAAATTATTTTAATGTTCTCTAGAAAAATCTAGAATCTGGAAATCACTATACAGAGATGTTTCCTAGATTCTGTAATAACTACCAGTATTTATATCTATGGATGTTTTCAAATGGTTACTAATACTTTTTTAAAACCCAGTTCAAAATCTCCTTGCAGTATTAATTTTTAAAATATTAAAATCTTCATATCTTAATTGTGTTAATAATATGAAGTAGCCAGTTTAATGGAATTTGATTTAGCAGATTTCAGATACAACATCACTCCGCTCTTACTTTTTTTTCTTCTTAGCGTTTTTCCTGTAGGTGCATGATCCACTTTTTTTTTTTTTTTTACCAGACCAACGGAATGTTGATCCATTGGCTGTGATAGGAATTGACTGACTGGCTTGTCGCCTGAGCCTGACATTGTAGGCTGAGAGAGAGTGACTGACTCGAAGTCACCCAGCCAGCTTTCATGCCTAAGGTGGTGTTAGAATTCACA